CTTTTCTTTTCGTTTACTTTCCTGCAAAATAAACAACTCAAACGAAAATATTCTTTTTCCCAAAAATTTAAACAAATAAATTTAATTATCTTGTTTTGTTTACTTTTTTTTGAATGGTGAAAAAATTCCAAAAATATAAGAAAGAAAATTATAGAGAAATTCATAACGTTAGCGCATGCCAAATAAGTCTGAAATAATTTCTATCTGCATAATTTATGTTCGCATTTGATTAATTGAGTTAATAACGGAATGTTATAAATTTTCGTGCGGCAGAGATATTGCTCTCTTTAAATTTCAATTTAAAGTAGGATTCCCTATTTTTAGACTTTTCCCCACTGATTTTTCCAGCAATGCCTCCTCGTATATGAGGCAATTTTTTTCAATTACCCAAGCTAATTGCACTTTACTTTACCCGTTTTCCTCGCACTTTCAAAGCATTTAAACGATTGCCCAAAACGCAAATAAAACTTGACCGACCAAAAGGAAAAGCAAACTTTGCTTAAAAACCAGTCCTAGTCAAACTCAAACTATTTCAATGTGTCAATCCAAAAGTGTAGTTTGGGGGGGAAAAAGTTGGTTGGAGATGACCAAATATTATGGCCAAATAGTTTCCGGCTTGGGAAAATGCCTAATGAGACTGTGACGATGGCGATGGCGATGGCGATGAAAGACGTTTTCATGATCAGGCCAAAATGCAAAATGGCAGATATCTAGCTGCACTCTGTCAGTCAGTCAGTCAATCAGTCAGTCAATCAAGAGACTTTGCCAAATCGAAATAGTTGGCCAAGATACCAGACTCTGCCCGCCTGGGTACCAGCCAAATTGGAATGCCAATGCAGACACGAAGCTCCTTTTAAAATATTTCCCAAATTGTCTTGACAGTTGCGATTGTTACGGTTATTCAATCTCTCTCAAAAATAAAAAAAAGATATAAAAGAAATTGTTATGATTTCTTTAGCATCGCTTCGGCTTCTTCTTCTGTTTCGACTTTATGCATTTCATTCATCATTCCTTTTAGCCAACTGTATGAATAAAACATTCAAGCCAAGTTAACCCATTTCTGCATTTATCTTCTCTTCTCCTCTCTCTTTTTTTTTTTGCCATGCAATTTTTGCACGACTTGGTCGAGTTGGCTATAAATAAATATCACACTTGTCGAGGAAATTCTCTCTTTTCTGGCTCACGATTTATGTGGGAGAGCTATCCCGGGAATATCGGGGTGCTATGTCCGACGGGTGGGTGGTGCTATGGCACCATCAACTCCCTGATGCGTTGTGCTGTGGTGGCCAACACCAAATGCAGCAAATCAACAGACACATTCATTTTATTCCTTCTGACCCGGACACGGAGCACACACTTTTGTTTTTTAATGCAGCTCCATCAGTCTTGACCAAAAAGTTACCTGGTAAAAGTCTTTTTTTATGGCCTCGTCTAACGTTAAGTGGACGTAATTTTTTCGACTGAAGTTTTTAGGGGTTTCTAAGCTGCTGAGTTTGATTTTTTGACTAATTTATCTGAGATTTTCTGTTTTTATATTACTAAGAATTTTGTTTCTAATTTGTAGTCACATTTTTGATTAATTATACCATATTTTTGGTGGTTTCTGATGGTTTCTACGTTGTCCCTTTGCTATTTCCACAGATTAAGTTCTTTATATTTAATATTTAAGGTTTTCTAGTGATTTTTTACAACATTTTATATCGAGTTAGTGACTTAGAAATGTAAGTTTGTTAAATATTTTCATAAAGAGTATTAAAAACTGCCACCCAACCAACTTAACTTTTTCTTTCACGCTTCAAATATATCCACTTTTTTCGTTGCTCTTTGCGTAATGCAACCTGGGGCAAAGTGGCGTCTGCACTTCTGCAACGCCCCCTCACCATTTCTCCAACCCTCCCCTTTGGCACCATCCCTGGTGGCGTTGACGATTGACGAGCAGATGGAATGAAATTGTGGCCGAATGGCCGAGAGCACTCTTTCCATATCCCCCATATATATATATCCATCTATCTATATATCGTATATATCCCAAGTGAAGAGGCTACAGGCGATGATGCGGTGATGAGGCCTGGGATTTCCAACAAAGTGCTCTAAGAAAATTTAAGTTTTCCTTTCTTTGCGTTTTCAGCCAGGGAAAATGAATAAAATATAAAGATTTATATGGACATCATTTTGAATGGGAACATGTGAGAGGAAATTTGCATTAGTTTATGGAGTTTATGATGAGCCAATGAACTTTATAGTTTGGGAATTTAAAATAAGGAAATTCTTGAAAAAGCAACTTTATTACCAGAACCAGATTTTTTCAGGTCTACTTTTATAAGTTTTTTAGTTTAATTCTTTATTGATCTGCGATTTTGATCTTCTTTTTGTAACTTTCTAAAAATCATGAAACGTTCAACGTTCCAATTTATGATGTGCTGAATATGGACTATTTTTGACCCCATTTTGTAATTATTAAGTCGAAGTCAGCTTTTTAGTTTTCTGATTTATTGAAATCTTTTGCCATACTCATGCTACTTTTTTACGCTTCGTCTCAATCTGTACTTAGTCTCTTGATATACGATCCCTTATTATGCTCTGAAATTGCCTTCAATTACCCTAAACGTCAATTAGACTACCATGTAATACTCCTACTACACTGGTCATGGTCTTATAAGCGACATAATAAAGACATTTCAGCGATATGACAATCTTTAGGCTGAATGACAAGGGATAATGATGTATGAAGTATCTTATGGAGAGGGCGGCGTAGCCAAAAATCAAGGTTAGGAAATACCAAGCTTGGAGTAATTATGAATTGAAATTGAGGCAGTTGTCATGCAAATTATAATTATTCATGGCCGGAGATATAAAATAGGTATAGGTGTTAGAGTTTTTAACATAAAATAATAACAAGCGAATTTCATAATATTTTTATGTTAAAATATTAGTAAAATTGTTTACTTTTCTGTGTTTTTTTTAGTGTTTTTTAAGTTGAATGTTTTTATCATAAGTAAAAGGAACATCAGCTCAAACTTTCCTGCTAGTTAGTTACCGTAACTTAACATAACTTCACCAAGTTAATGCCATATAGATTGGGTAATAACCATCGTAAGGTCAACGTAATTTGACTTCTATTCACGCCTGCCAGCGATGGCCATTGTAGTTGGTAAGTCAGCTGTCAACGAATGCGGTTTTTTTTCCTTTTATACCGCCAACCAATTGAAAGTGAAAACCCGATGCAATGAACTCTCCTCTTGGCGGGAGGATGAAACCGTGGAGCATGCAACTCCTACACCACAACTTGCTGCTGAAGTATCAACTCAATAGGGAAAGCAGCAGCTGCGTTAGAAAAATTCAAATTATGCGACAACGGAGCCATTCAAGTGTGGCCAAGAGGCCGCAGCAGCAGCAGCAGCAACAAAAACCGGCAACAATATCGAGTGACAATCATAAAGAAAACCAAAAGAAACGACAACAAAAGCAAGCAGGGGAAAAAAGAAAATATTTTTATCTATAAAATAAAAATAATAATAAGCTTTGTTGCTACTTTTTCTCATTACGTTTTATCGGCAGCTATTAAAGCCGCAAAATCTTGGCGACATTTCGTAATGAGGCTTGGCATGGAAGGGGTCTTTAAGCCATATCGAATTCCCTAGTAGTTGTAGTTTTGCATGCCCAAGACAAAAGGCCATAAACTTGTTGATTGTCCGTTGCCATGGCTGCCAATTCCAAAACGAAAATCGGTTATATATATAGCTGCCCCTTTTTTGGCCCGGGAAATCGCCACCCAAAAGCCAATCATTAAATCATGGCCTGACCTTTTGCACGCAGTCACTATTTCAAACGCCCTAATGAATGCTTTAAGTCCAAAAACGAAAAAAAAAAAATAACAAACATAAACATATAAGGAGCTGAAACAATTCTATGGCTAATTACTGTTTAGGCCAAGACCTTGCCAGAGCATTTTCTTTAAACAAAAGTTTTGCTTTCGATGTTTACGCTTAAGTTTTCAGCGGAATCGGTGGGTGATTATGGAATATTTTGCCTGAGAACCAAACTACGGAAATATTGTGATTGTTCGATAAGGTCAAAAGGTGGAGGGTGGCGATGGCTGATGAAGGCAGAGGCCTTCAAGTCAAAAAAGGAAGTGAAAATGGTAGGTGGAAATGTGAGATTTTATCGAGGTAGAGGAAATATAAAGAACTTTAGTACTTAGTGTTTAGAAAATATTTAAAATTAGTAGGGGAAAACTGTATTTTCCAAATCAGTTTAGCCTTTCCTTTAATTCTTAATTTTATTTAAACAAATCTTTAGAAACCTTTCCCGCAGTGAGTTACCCTACTGCTAATGTTACTTTCAATTCCACTTGATATCCGATGCTGAGCTCGTAGAGGCACTTAATAAATGTTACATATTCCCCCTCCCACTGCCAACTATCCCCCCTTATCACCCTTATCAATGCCAAATGAAGTTTGCTCTCCAATCTCAACCCACACACACGAACTTCGAGCACTTTTCGCACATAAATCAAGTTGACCTTAAAAAATCCAGCGAACAAAAAAAAAAAAAAAACTTTGTCATAACAAAAACAACAACTTGAAGACGCCAAAGGAGGCAAAGAGTGGGGCAAAGAGAGGGGCTGCTGTGGCAAAAGGAGAGGCTGTCAAGGCTACGTGACAAACAACAAGGTGACATAAATATCCAGTTGCTCCAAAAAGGAAACTAAACATTTTTCTTCTTTTTTTTTTTTTTGCCAAGGCAACATAACAATGAGCAAGGGAGACAGGAGGGAGATGTGGAGCAGAGTGAGAGGGGAAACGGAGACGCGTTCCAAGCAATGAAAGCATAAAGTAATACAGTGGGGATTCGAAAAGAGAAACATTCTGGAACTCGAACTAACTTTGTCTTCAGCCTTTTTGATATCAAATTTAACATTAAAGCTGATATCTGATTACCTCTCTCAATACCATAATATTAAGATATTGTCCCAGAAAGCCAGTAATCACTGTACTAACCTGCTGATGTGTCGGCTGCATTGGCCAGACGAGATTGAGATTCCTGGCGGATTGTGCCGGTGGTTGTGGCTGTGGATGCTGCTGAGTGGCATGTGGCGGAGGAGGAGGCGGAGGGTGGCTGGGTGGCAGAGCGGAGAGCAGCTGATTAGCGGCGCCAAAGTGTATCATGTTGGCGGTGTGACGACGTGCTGGAAGAGCCGGTGGCGGTGTAGAGCAGGGGGAATCCTGTTCGCTGTCTCTTTCTAGTGATTCCTGGTTCTCCACTTCTACTTGTTGTAGTTGCTGTTGTTGTTTGGCCTCGTTTGTTTGCGGTTTCTTGGGCAATGTCAAGGAATTGTTGCTGTTGTTGTTGTTGCTGCTGTTATTCAGCGAAAGCGAACGCGCAAAAGAACTTTTGAAATAGCGACACGGCATCTGGAAATCAAAGTCAAGATCCGTTGACTGCTGCATATTTGTTGTTGCTATTTTCTGCATATCTATCGCTTAAAACAGGAATTTTTATTTATATTTTTCTTCTTTTTTTTTTTGTGTAGTACTTTTATCTCACTATCTTCTTCTTCTTTTTTCGGTCTGTTTTAAATTGGCATTGTTGATGTTTTCCTCTTTACTTATTTTCCGCTTTTGGACTATTGCATTTTTTCACGCACTCATAAGCTCACTTTCACACACTCACACACAAATCAATTGGTTTTTGACACTCGAACGAATTTTTGCCAATTCAATTTAATAGAAATTCAATGGAAATCAATTTCAATTCCTGCGATTTGATTTGCGCGCGCGTAGCACTAACAAAACTTATGAAAAAGCCGCAGCGTTATTCGTTTGCGTCCGATCTGTTGAGCTTTTTGCCGGAGAATGAAAAAACAATTGTAATAAAGCCGCTAAAAACGAAGAAACATGTGGAAAGGGAGAGAGAGACAAAATGAGAGAAGTTACCAAGACAACGCACTATGGGACTGATGACGATTTCTGTTAGCTAAAAGTAAGCTTACAAGTATTTTAACATGGATGGTAACATTTATTTTAGCCTTTCAAAAACTAATCAAATGTATTTTGACAAATTATCTCCTTATGTGTTAAAACTTTCAACTTCTGAAGTTATTTCTTGATATCTAGTAAATGGAGGCACTTATATATTTTGGTCCATAAAAGTTTTCTTTTGCCCATAGTGGAATACATCAGAGACCTCAGTGAGAAAGAGAGCTCGATCGGAAGTGCTCTCTTAAAAAATGTTTGTTAGCTGTATTCTCTTTTAAAGATACTTTTACAAAAATTAGGTCTTTCAATATGTCCCCTCTCTAAAAAAACTCTTTTAAAACTTTAAAACTTTAATGTTAGTAAAAGGAATTCTTATTTTACTTTTACTTATTTTTCTAAATACATCTAAAAACATTTTAGTTGCTCTCATTATACCAGTCAGTCATACATCAGTATGATTATGTTCATAACAAAATGTCAACTTTTTTTTTTAATTTTAGTTATTTTATTGAATTTTTAATTTATAAATACTTAGCACACTTTTGGGGATCACCGAAAATGTAAGATATCATTGAAGTGCTGGCCTTCTTAACTTTAATGTTAATAACATGACGAAAATCTTTTATCATTCATTTAAAAGTAGGCTACATATTTTTATGTAGAATAAAACTTTATAATGTAATAAAAGTATAAAATCGAGTACAAAACAAATAATTGCAACTAAAAAATATTTATGATTATGATTATGATTATAAAATAGTTTATGTTTTTATTGATGTAATGTGCAAGCCATATAAAACGCAGTGGACTGTTTTGATTATTCAATATTTCTAATAAATTAAATAATTATTAAAATTTAAATTGGTTAAAATTAATTTTACTACAAAAACATATTAGTATATATTAAAAAAAGTCTCTTAACTTTACAGATATTTATATTTACTAATAATCGGAGAATCTTTTAAAGAGTAAACCGCCTGTCGTTACTCCGCCCCCAAAAAGTCATTACAAAATAATTTCATTAGAACTAATAATATCACTTGAGCTATCGAGTTTTTTTTATGATTTCCTCCCTTCCAAGGAGGCATTAACACTCGTTCCCATCCAAAGGCGACCCCTCCGGTACCCCAGCTATGTAAGTAATCCCCGGCCTAATTCCCATACCTTATGTGGTATCTAAATTGGGGGGACAGGTTGCCAATCAACTTGATTGCGCTGCGCTGATGTTGGGCCCTGTTTATCTAGCTTAGGGGCAAGGATTTTTCGGCTTTTATCATAACAGAAGTTCCTAAATTCCCTTTGATGAAATGCACATAACCCCCTCTGACACATAAAACGAAGAAGGCAAATTTGGTTGATAGTTTTTGATCCCTGAAACCCGTGACCCAAAAGTGGAGACATTCTATTTGGTGCTTCAAGGGAAAAAATTAGATTTGCAAATGTTTAGCTAAAATATAATTACCATCAAATGAACAAAATTGCTTATTAAAATCCTTTTGCAACGTGACCCCTTTGCCACTAAAATAGAAAAACAACGATTAGTCAGCATCAGACGTAGTGGTCTAGTATAGTGGGTACTTAGTATAGATTTCTATTTTTAAGGCCCCACGATCCACTGTTGCCATGTGCGCATGCCCCTGCGACTTGCCGTTACATAAGCCTTATATAAGAGATCCATGCGAGCGAGCGGGATGTACGTATAGCGCATTTGGTTCTCTCGGTTCTCCCCCTAACGAGCTCCCCCTCACGCTCTGCCCCACCGATGATGGGCTCCAGTCAAGATAAAGACCACGTGATTGCGTTCCACCGGCTGCACCAAAAAATGAGCGCGAGAGTACGCCAGTAGAGAGAGAGAGCGTGAAATGGGAGCAGTAGTTGAAGTTGCTCTTGTTTTGATTTTCAATTTATGTTCCATGCTCCCCCGCGCCGTCTTGGAAATGATTTAATCTTTTGGAAAATAGTTTTAGTTACGAATTGTTGCTGCGACCGTGTGTATCGGTAATCGGTTTTTAAAGATTTGCAATCGATAGTGCAATGGGCGAGCCCAAGGAGAATATCATGGATTTGTCCGTGCGAGGTAAGTGCTTAAGTCCTAAAGCACCTGTCCATTCCCCCTCTCCACCTTTGCCCTATCACACACTCTCTTTTAAATCAACAATTGAAACACGTGCATTGGTGAGAGTGCGAATCGGTTTTGTTTGCTCTGCCTCTCATTCGCACTTTCAGGGCGTAAAAGAGAGAGCATACGAGTGGGTGTGTGATAGTAAGCTTTTGCATGGTTTTTTGTTGTTTTTATTGCTTGGGTTAAGCCCCCCATGTGACAAATTATTTGATTTTGTCTTCTGATTGCGACAAATTGGTTTCTTTGATTCATTTTTTTTGTTTTCTTGCTATTTATATGGTGATTTTTTGTTTGCCATGCGGCGGAACCTTAAGCAAATAGCGGTTAATTTATGTACACACACGCAAAATTAGAGCGAGATGGGTTGAGCCAGTATATTGCGTTCGGTTTTCAATTGAAACGTCACTAGGTACAGTGCATTGTGGCTAAAGTGTTCAAAATCTATTTTATGATAAGATATCTTAAAATGTCTAATGGTTTCGATTTCAATCTAACGGTTTTCTGAATTTAAAAAAGATGTAGCATACTTTTTAAGACATAGAAAACGATTTTTTTATTAAATGTTTCTTAATCTTTGATTAGCAATTTCCACTTAACTCCCCTATCAAGCTTTGCTAAAAATACTTAACCAACATTTTCTATTAGTCCAATGACTACTGTAATAGACAGCCAGCGAATGAATAATTCAAAATTTACACAGCATGCTGTCATTAATTAGTACAGTCCAGATGCCGACTAATTGATATATTGTGTGGCCCCAACCCACTCAGGAAACCCCCATTCCCTTTCCCATGCCACCTAACCACTCCACCGAACGACTTCCCCCGAGATAAACCCGTATTTACCCACCCCGATCCACATGCGATCGATATGCATAGCACTTTGATAGGCCTAAAAAAAAAAAGTAAACTGACCCCTTTGGATCTTGCGTCGGCAATTATGGCCTTTGATATCAGACTAATCAAATGTTGGGGAATTCGATAAAACGCTTTGGATTTCTCAAGTCCATTTCCACCTAGAATTTCGGTATTTCGGTTGCCATGATGGACTGCTGTCCAGAATTGGTGAAATAGAAACGACTACGTCGTCGCCAGTTGTCGCCGCCAACCATCCTCACAATCACAATCAATTGCACTGTCATCGTGTCGCCGGCTTTGTTATCAGGAGGAAAGGAAAGACGAGGTTACCAGGGGACTATAAATATTTACCCTCATGATATAGTTGGGTCGCATAAAAATGTGAGTTGTGGCTGTGATGGTGATTATTATGATTATGATTATGATTATGAGGATGGAGGGGAGGCAGTGGCGGGTTTTAATTATAAACTTTTACGACGAAAGTCACACAGTTGCCATTCATCACTCACGTTAAGTTAAACAGGGCCTGATAAGACCAACCATGTAATAAAGGCACCTTTTATTCTGGAAATTTTTTATGAAATTGTAAGATAGTTGGTAGTCAAATTGCCTAAGGTTAAACCAGGTACTATTAAATTAAATACCCTCAAGAAAGGTAATACAGTAAACTTACTATTAACCAATTATTTCCCGTTCTTTCTCTATCCTGGGTCTTAATAGTTTTTTTACAGTGCACTTTGCTCTACTCTGATATTCATCATTCCCAAGCCACTTCTCAGCTCGACAAAGCTCTCCTCAAAAGCTCATCGAGAGTGTGAGTTCTCCGCATAAAACTGGCTCTCACTATCTGCGATTCGGCTTTTTTTTTTGCCGATCGGATCACATGGTCAGGTCGGGGATTTCGGGGCTGTCTTAGAATAGAACCTACAAGTTCCATTCACTCTGCTCCGGCTGATAAGATCGCAACGCACGGTTCTGGGCGTGGAAAATTTGCTAATGCAAAAATCAAACAATTGACACGCCGTAAAAAAGCCAAATCACATCTATGTCGCAATTTTGGGAGGCTGATCTACCAGTCATTATCTTTTATAAAATAGCACTAATCTGTGCCCGAAATCGGGTCACTAAACACGCGACTAAGCTGAAAACAAGCCTTGGCACGCGCCCCTCTATTAACGAAAACAATCAAAAAACCGCGTCTGGGCAGTTTTGGAAAATTTCAGAGCAATCTGAGTCAGGCGTTTTTTTTTTTTTGGGTCGGTCAGTCTTGCAAATCGAATTGGAAGTGGAAGTGGACTTGGACAGCCAGTGGCGTGATGATAAAAACATATAGTATACGAGTATATAGTGTGCTAGGCGCATGGAGCATAAAGTTTGTTTGTTTTGAATCGATCAGGGAGCGGTACAGTCTTTATAAAGTGGAATTGCCTCCAGATTAGATTCACCAACTGACGGACATTTATTCGTCAAAAAGGGTTTATCAAGTCAGTTTGATATTCTATTTATTTTGTCACCTGCTATTTATAGCGTCTTTTTTAATGCGTGAAATGATGTGGGAAATAAATTATAAAATCAAGAAGTTTTAGCTCTCTGAAGGAAACTTTATTTATGGAACTGTCATACTGTGACATAGAAACTAACATTAAAAATCCCTTAAAATGAACTTAATGTCAATCCTTAAGCTTTAAAGATCTTACTCTTGTAATAGTAATCAGTTTTTCTTTTTACTCACTACTGAATGTGTCACAATGAAATTTTCCCTGATACCAAGACTATAATTTACTACAACTAGTCATCTTTTAATAATATCAACTGATTTAAAAAGTTCAGCAAAAAATCACTCTTATTAAATAAATACTCTTTTGAGTGATTTCCAGGAATTATGTGCATTAAAGCCCAAAAATACACATAAAATATTTATAAAGTCAGCAAAAAGTTTCGGGTTTCTCTTTTCCTTTATTATTCTTGTGAATATTCTAGCTCGGCTTCTTGGCTTTCCGTTATT